GAGTTTTGAATGGATCATTTAGTATAATATTACCATTGTTAATGTCTTTCAACTGGTGGGTATTTTCCATTGTTATTTTCCTTATTATAATCCGTTTTGATTTATCTTTATGTTTGCTTTTGTTACACTGTTTTGATAACAATCTCTTCAGATTTTCAAGAGACTTAAAATGAAGTTTGTAAATGATAATGAAAGAAACACATAGATGTGATGTAGTGGCTGTCAGAACACTGCATGTACTTCCTGGTTGGCAATTACCCTCCAAAGTAGTTTCAAGTTTTAAAGATCATGGCTTGCATAGAATAGCAAGAACAGGCTTGGGGTAGAACTGGGGCTTCGGTTGCACTTGTAGCATCCTGACCAAAATGCGGCAGAACTGGCCAGTATCTTGTTATTATTTTAATAACAATTAGATTATTTTAATAATTAATTAATTAATTATCTTTTTATAATTTCAACGAAAACAGAAAAAAGAATCATACTGATACATCTACAGATTTAGGGATACAGAAAATATAGTAAAGTGTGGGGGAGAAGAGGGAGAAAAACAATACAAGCAATTAAATACAGGTCAATAATCACCAAGTTTCGAAAACCCAGCAAATCTGAAGTATCATATGGCTAATATACGGCTAATATAATATAATAATTTAGAGTACTATAGACATTTCATGCCCAATTTCTAGTCAGGACATACCTCCATTAATCCAAAAAATATTTGATTGGCTCAATTAAAATCAATAACAGGAAAAAGAAAAAGGATAAAAATACATTGAAAAATTACTGAAAATAATGTGTAGACTATATGTCAGATTGAAGTATGAACTCTAGAACAAAATCAGCTTTGTTGGTGGTCATGGGCAGGATGGCTGCAGTGCATATGGACAGTCTCTAGGCCAGTGTTTCTCAACCTTGGCAACTTTAAGATATGTAGACTTCAACTCCCAGGATTCCCCAGCCAGCATACGCTGGTTGGGGAATCGTGGGAGTTGAAGTCCACACATCTTAATGTTGCCAAGGTTGAGACACACTGCTGTAGGCCATTCCAGAAGCTCTTGGTCCCTGCCATCTGCAGTACGGCTATTCTGGGTAGCATCTCACAGAATGCTGGAGAGCCCAGGCCTCAGAAAGGCAGAAGACACTGCAATTTTTCAGGTGTCTGGAAGCTCTGAGATGCTCCCTGAGCAACTGCAGTGCAGAGCTGGATGTGAGCATTTTTGGAATTCAGGTTGGAGAGCTGCCACAGCCAACTGCCTGTGAGACTTCTGTTTTAGCAATCTGGACTAGAAGTATTTAATCCAAAAACCAAGTACCTCAGAGCTCTGATCGGTGATATTTATTAGAAGCAAGGTTAAGGTTACAACACAATTCCAGCAAGAATTCTGCTTTCAAATGAGAAACCTCTCGATAGACAATTCTAAACTGGCAACATTCTGGTTCATTTTCTCAGGTTTTTTGGTACAAAAGGGAGGAGTCTTGTCTCTTCTATGAAGATGGGGCAATCTACATCTGTTGATTATCTTGGTATATGCTGCTGGACATCTTATCATTGTGAGAAATTATTCATATCACCGCAGCAATCACTTGTACACATTCTAGCTGGAGGAAGGGCCTCATTCTTGATATCCTTGCAGCTACGTCAGATGGCTGCATTGGAAACCCAGTGGGACAGGCTAGCTATATCTGCATATCTGATCTGGAGCCCATGGTGCTTGGGGCAGGCAAGCTGTTTCAGATGGTAGTGGAGGTCCTGAACTTGTCTCTCAGGGGCTGGAATATTCCTAGCAGACAATCTGCATCAAGAAGAAGAGCAGGGGAATTGGGGCAGAGTCATGAACTCCTTGGCAGCTTCTGGTGTTCCTGGACAGGTACATGATCATTTAGGCAACATCTATCCCCAGCTGGGACCTTGGGACACAGTTATATAATGATGGCCCTCACTTAGCTCCAGCCCAGCCTCATAGAGACAGGCTGGAGATCCTACAGTGAAGGACTCTGCAGGCAGAGGTCATGGATGAGTGCATTTCGGTTCATGGGAGAATGGAAGAAAGGAATGCCAGTTCCCACTATGCCCAAGTGTGGAAAGGCAGAGGGTAGCAGTGGCATGTGGCAGCTTGGTTCCAACCATGTTCCTGCCCTCTCTTCAGTGCCTCTTACTTTTTCCATTGCCTGGAAATCTTCCTCACCCTCAAAGAATCCCCTGCCTTGGCCATTAAGATGAAGGATATTTGTGCAGTGGATAATATAAGACAGCATCTTCAAAACCAGAACAGATATCAAACAAAAGAAAGTTAGTTTGCCTGAATGTCAAGAGACACAGTAAGAAGAGTTCAGCAGAGGAGACCTGTTAGCTAGAATACTGTTTTGCTTTGTCTGACATAGGATAACTGATCTCCCTGGAGGTTGATAGTCCTACTAAATCAATCAATCAATCAATCAATCAATCAGGCAGTCATGAGTAACAGATCTATTTGGTGCAAGCCAGATGTCCAATCTCTCCTACATCTTAAACCAAATAGATTAAAGACATTGCCCAGTGACTGCAGGGAACATGTGACCAGTAGATTAAGTGGCCAGGGGGAGCTGGGCAGATCCCTGCCCCTGGCTGTATCATTGTCAGCAGTGGTACCGGTGTCCTTAGGATAAATGATGTGGGGTGATGATTCTGTAAGTGTACTTTAGAAAGTGAATGGGAAGGATGGATACTACGAGTGTTTTAATATCAAAATATTGCATGCAAAATGTGGAACTGCAGATCCCACTTCTGACAAAATGAAAGAGTCTAAATGATTCAACAAAACCAGTAAAACCTATCCATTAACTTTGTGAAAATACAATTGTTTTAAAATGTGGTGTAGTAAGGTTTCACACAGTTGAAAATCTTGGTTCTTCCAGGCACTTATTCAAGAACTGGCTTACTCAGCAGAAGGCTCAGAGATATAATACAACTAGATTAGTTTCTTCATTGCAGATAAGAATGAAGCTCTGCCTTCTGCATTACATATACAGGAGTTAAAGCCTATATATCATCTGTTCTCCAGGGCCTAAATTATACTGTAGTTTTCTTCTCCTAACTTTACAAGTCAACAGATAATTGGCTTTTCATTTCCTAGACTTGAAAGACATCAGATCCATATTGACATAATGGTTCTCTGTAATAGCCTAAGAACCTTTCTCCCAACTTGCCAAATTCTGTCCTTCCAGAAATGAACATTATTAATTCAAAAGAGACAAAAGCTTATCATCCTTAAATTCATCTGGCATTTCAGGACTGTGTAATTGAGTCAGGACTCCGTTCTAGAACCTGAGCACTAGAACTAGACAAGACCTGTGATTTGGATTTGATAACAAAACATTATTGAACACAAGATGGAGAATTGATTTTAAATCTCTGGTTGGTTACAAAAATTTCAGAGATAATTTAGAAGCCATCATTGTCTCTCATCCCAACCTACCTCTCGAGGTTCTGAGACGCAATATGGGTGCTAGGGGAAGAAACCAAGCTTCTTGAAGAATGTGATTTACAAGAAACCTATCTTTCTCAGTAAATCACAAGAATGACTAATGAAATGGTAGATTTCATTGATCCCATCTTAATTCCAAATCAGGGGCTTCTGCTTCCTTTAGATCAGCTATGCAGTTTACCAGAAAAGTAAGAGTTATCAATATGCCAGAACTTGTTCTTATTGGCTGGATCTAAACTAAGCTATGTTTTATCCCTCCTGGAAGTCAATGGGAAAATTTATTCACATTGAAGGCATTTTCAAGACTCTTGACAGTCCTCCTCCACTGCTTGATTTCCGTGATCATGTAGTTATTTTCTCCATGCCCTAGTGAATGGCTCTCAGTATATAGAAATGAGTTGGAAAAATACTTTATTCTCTATACTGTACTTTAACTGATCTGTTTTCCTTGTTTGAATGAAAAGTACTGTCCTACTTGATCATTTCATATACTGAACCGTACTTTAGATAAAGCCCCATCTGTCTGGGCGGCTTAGAAAAGGACTTGCATAAATCCCCTTTATTTCTGGCAGAATAAAAACATGACTTTTCCTCTAACCCACCATTTTTTGCTGTAGTGTATAAGGAACAGGCATGTCTCCAAGCTTGTATGGGGTGTATTTACTTAGCCACTAATATTGCTGCAGTCTCCCAATAGATCTGAAATTACTATCCAAATGTGCATTTGTGAATGTCACTAACTATAACTATTGTTCTATCAGAATCAGAATATTGTTCTTTTGTTTATTAGCCTTATATCTTCTATATCTCAACCTTCCTCCATTCCCCCCACCACCACCACCAGCCGCCTTGTAAGGTAGGTCGGAACGAGAAGCAGCAACAGACCCAAACTGAGCACCCACGACTGGGAGTGAATTTGAACTTAGCCCTCCTGAATTTCTGTCCAACATCTTAACCGCTGCAAATCAGTCCCTCCTTCCTGCCTTTTGTGCGCTGGGCAGGTGGCCAACCTGGACGGGCCCTTTAAGAGATCCCAGCGCCTGTTTCTTTTCCCCCGGAAGAAAAGTGCAGGAGAACCAGCCGATTAGACTGCGTGCAAGGTGGAGGGAAAGGAGCAGCGGAGGGCGGGTGGTAACGACGCGCACGTTTCCCTTTAACTACCAGCCCGGGCAAGCTCTGGAGTCAAACCTTTGGCGGGCAGAGAACGGGGGTGACTTCATCACGAGCGAGGACCGGGAGCTGGTAACGGCGCGGCAGAGAGAGAAAATATTCCCCAACCAGCAGCACTATATCGGTTTTCCCAGCCAGCCAGATTCTGCACAGTCGCTCGCTGGCAGGAGGGAAATTCATCTGGCAAGCCATGGCCCCTACGCACTTTCAGCTTCGCCCAGCAGCCTCCGAGCAAAGGAACCGAATCTGGAGGCACCCGCTTCTGTTTTTGGGGTTTACCCTGTGGCTTTCTCTTCCCCCTCTAAGATGCGCTGCTTTCAACCTGGACACTAAGTTCGTGGTTCTCAAGAAAGGCAAAACTCCCGACAGTTACTTTGGGTTCTCGGTAGCCCTGCATCACCAAACGAATCCGGACAGATACCTGTAAGTGGAAGTGAAGCCGGGCAGCTGGGGGTACAACTGCTTGGATTTCGGGGGGAGGGGTAGAGGAAACTGCTGGGTATTGTTAGAGCTCCTTTTACTACGGATTCCCACCCTCCACCCCCCGCTTTCTGAATCGGGCTAATTCTATTCTTACGCGTAACGCGTATGCAACTGCTCCAGAATTGAGAAAGATGCAGGCTTGAGAGTTACACAGGCCAATTCAGCAAGCACCGTGGGGATAATTAAAAATCACTAGGGTTTCAGGGTCGTCAGAGTTTCCTGACATCTAAGCGGATATCAAGTACTTTTTGTGGCTTTAGTTCTGTTCTCCCTGTAAGCAAGCCCCACCGAAATCAATGGGACTTCATTTTGAATAGATATGGATAGGATTCTGCTGTGCATATAAAGCATTCTTTTCGTATTTTTCCCATTTTAGCACTACTTGTTTGATCTGTAAAGAAAAAAAAAGCTATGCTGCTGTCCTAATTTTGTATTCATTTTGGAAAAAAAAATGAAGGCGGATAGTCTCCAGTCTGCTTTCAATTAAAAGTCATGCTTTTGATTCCTTTTTTGGAGGCAGGCAGTCTGTTTCTAGTCTCTCACTAATTAACAAGCATTTAAGTATATGCGTGCGCACACACAGACACACACACCAACCATGAAGTTACTGGTTTGCGTGTATTCTGCATGGTGCACCTGTTAACATTATTCTAGTTTTTGATTTAGCTGGAGTTTTATCTGCTTAGCCACCTTTTTTATGCTTAGTGCCCTCTAGCTGTGTTGAATTACAGTTCCCATAAGGATGATGGGAATTCTACTTCAGGACATCTGGAAGTAGCCATGCTGAATAAAGCGATTTGTAGTTTTAACTTGAAAGTTTGTATGCATGTGTGCTGATTTGGGTGTGAGTACTTATGGTATTATATAGGTTTCATAAATGCATATAACCTTGTGTGTAGTATATTTTATCCCCTGCCCAGCACTAGGAAACATCAAGAAACTATTGTAAATACTGTACGGTAGGGTTAAGAATGCCCAGGTTACAGGCGACTCATTTTAAGAATGGAGCCTATTATAGCAAAATTTGAGTTAAACACACAATGGTTCGAGTTAATTACACAATACTACTTATACAATTCTGGTTTACGTACAAATTTAGCTTAAGGAGAGACCTTGAGAATAGAACCTGATCTTAGATTGGGGACTTACCTGTGCTGTAGTATGATTAACAAAGAACTTATTCAAAAACGTTTGCTAATCAGTAGCCACTAAGGACACTTAGTGGTAAATGCAGTTCTACCAGGGACAGTGCCAGCCTACACGGAAGTGCAATTGAGCAACTAGGATTAGCTGCTGGGACCTTTTCAAGCAGGAATTTGGGAGTGGGGTAAATAGTAAAATTTCCGTTTAAATTCAGTCTGAGCTAACTTCAGCAAAAGTACATAGGAATGTATACAGTACTAACGTATCTGTTTTTCTCATGGAAATCATGTGGATGTCTTCTATTCAGTAGTATACATAACAAGTTATGATTTAAGGGTAATCCTATTCTCTAGAACGTATAGGTCATTTTAATTCAAAGCAGCCGAGCTTTGCCTCTTGCATACATATAATGATGAAGTTAGTTGAATGTTCATTGAATGTGCCTCTAAATCAGTTTCTTCAACACAACTGTTCCAATTCTTTACACTACAATGCCCATCTTCATGATTTTTGTGTATGTTGGTTGGGCTCATAGCAGTTGTAATCCCAAATATTTGGAGGACACCAGGTCAGATACAAATAGTTTAGATAAGAGACAGGTCAATCTTTTGTGAACATAATTTGCTTTTTGTTTCACTGTTAAACTAAGATGGATCACCTAATCTGGCAGTTGCAGTTTGTAAATTGATACTGAGTTTTATAACTAGGTCTGTTCAACACTCAATATTGGGCTTTTGAAACTTCAGTCAAAAGGTCATAGGATGTTCAAATATATAACAATGAAAAAGGAACCAATGACTATTGGTATACATGCATTTAACTGAATTGCTTAATTTTAAAAAGTGTATCCCACCTTATATTCAGAAGAAAACCAAAATGCTATTAGATTTTTGGCTGAGAAGTTTAAGTAAGGCTGGGCTAGTTAGCACTTGGATGGAAGACTGGCAAGAAATGACAGGGCTGTAGACTGAGAAATATATATAAGAAAGTAGTAGCAATCACTTCTGCATTATTGCCCTAACTGCTTGGATGTGTCCATAAAGTCACCAGAAGTTCAACTCAACTTGAATACTCTACTTTTATATAATGAACCAATAAAGCCAGTTTCATTTAAATAATACTAATACTTTGACCAACAAATGTGGACTAGGAAAGAAATTAATGCAGTAGATCAAAAGCTGACAGAAAAGTATTTACCATTCATTGGAAGGCCAAAAGTGGATTACACAGACTTTTCCAAGAAATGGACTTCAGAGATTTCTGTTGAATGGAGACATTCTGAATTCTCCTAGTGCCATAGAAATAAATGCCTGGTTGATTGACTTATGCATTTGGACTTTCAGGACTATTGCCAAATGTCCCAACCAGTTGTTCTGGTATCAAGCTATATGATTGCAATATGGCAGGACTGACACTAAGTTTGTGGGGTGGCCTGTTGTTCTTCTCTACAATCTTGCTAGGGTGAAAGGCAGCTAGACAACAGCAGAACTCAGCTGGGCCCTAAACAGGACACAACTTTTATTATCTGTGAATGCCTTTACTGTTCCAAAGAGGGGCAGCTGTATATATACTGCTTGGTGTTTCTCAGCTGAGAAAAGAAAAGACATGGGGGGAGGGGTATGATATTGTGAATCTGTACCTCTTGTCTGCCCCAGGTTTGATTTAAATAAATTATCCCCAGTTGTTTGCAGAGAACATCAGCCCAATGATGATTGGCTGGGAATTCTAGGGATCCTTATAGTTAAAAACATGGAAAACCAGAAGAAAAGAAATCCAGAAAAGGGGGGGGGGCAGTTTTCTTCTGAACGTTTTCTGTTTCCTGAATTTTATTTCCCTGCCAAGTTGTATTTCTAGTTTGGAGGGCATGAGGTTGGATAAGGCTGTCATACAAGCACATGTCTTTCGCCTTAGAAGTCCCACTTAAGTACAATTTTTAGGCTCTGGGGTTCAGGGAGAGTAAATCCAAATAATATGAAACCATATGGGATTTTCTGCAAAGGCTAATGCCTGTAGTCATCATTCAGGACCAAATGAAGGAATTTTAGATTCATGAATAGAAAAGGAAACTTGAAACTTCAAGACCTAGTTATGTCAGCAGGCCTAGAGACCCCAGGGGACAGGTGAACTAGCGATGTGGCTATATAATTAACATCCCTTTGCCTGTTAATTTTGTTTTCTGTTTTAGTTCTGATTTTACAGTTATAATGTTTTAAATAATTATTATATAAGGGTTTTATGTAATGATTGTTTATATATTTGTTGTTTTATTGGAGTGTACGCTGCCCAGAGTAACTTTTTGTGAAATAGGCAGCCATATAAATTTAATTAATAAGCTACTGTATTCTTATGGCAAAGACTAACTACATAGTCTATCACTATAATGGCTTTAGGCAAGTAACTCAATGAATCCCTTTCATCAGTGCTGGGTGGCTGTATGAAACTTTCCCACAATGCCCCAGAATGATTCTACCTTAGGGGAACTTAAGGGAACTCTGGGAACTTAAATGGCAGCCAACATGCTGCCCAGGGCCAGTAAAGCTGAACTAAAAAATAGGGCACAGAGCCTGCTAAGGACATGGTTGATGCCAGGCCTCTTTTGCTAATCTCCTGTTGTGAAGGATTGCAGCCTGTTGCTGAGAATTGCCATATTTGGGGATGTAGGAAGGCACTTTCCCTCAGGGCACATGAATTGGTGGCTCTTCACTGACTTCTGGGAGGGTTTTTTGGGGGCATTCTGAATACTACGTGGCAGGCATCCTTTTTGCTTTATCCCTTTGGCTTTGTTGTAGCAAATGCAAGCCTCATCTTGCAGATGATTTCCTGGGATTTGTGCATTCTGCTCGGTTCCCTCCTGCTGACTGCCTGTCTGGCGTGAAGAATGATCATATTTGATGGAGCTAAAGCAGCTTTCTCCATCTTACTGCTTTCCTTTTGTGCTTGGACCATAACTCCCACTCCTAGTGTCCAGCAAAAAGGCTTGGGTGGGGTGGGGTGGGGTGGGATATGTGGCCAAATACTTCTGCAAAGAGACAAAAAGCCGGCTGCATAATCTTTTCACGTAGAGAACTGCACTCCAGAAAATGAATAGGACCAGATAAAAATCTAAAATTGATGTAACTGATTATATAAATTTAATGATGCCTTCCCACATCTGTTAAGTCACTCCTTCTGGTTTTGTAACCTTTATAATTACAGTTTGACAGCAAGCGTTGGTACTGATGGTTTTGTTATCTATGCCTGTAGGGTAAAGAATTTATAGCTTGAAGTCCTGTTTCTCAACTTTTGCAACTTCACTTCCCAAAATTCTCAGTAGGGCAATGCTAGATGGGGAATTTATTATTTATTAATCACTGACTCCCAATGACTCTAGGAGTTGAAATCCACCCATCTGGAACTGGGGAAACACTGGTTTAAAGAAATTGCTGCTGAAAATCAGGTTTAAGAACAAGATAACCACTTATGAGGTGCTAACAGAGAAGAAGAAAGAGGACACAGGTTGGTGTAACATCTGGTGCCAGTTTGGTCCACACATTGCCTATCAGTTTAGCAATAATTAATATCAGTTTAAAGTATAGCCTTAATTTGGATTTGGGACTTTTACTTACATCCAGCATATGCTGTTGTTTTTGTAATTGGAAAACTGGTTCATTTCCCTATAAAGTGAAAGCTGGGGCCAAGCAACTGGTGTGTCTCAACATTTTCTTTTCCTTCTTAGGGTTCATTTATAAGAAATCATATTCAAGTTTGTTCAGAAGTACATCTGTTCAGAAAAGCATACCTTTAATAAGTATGTATAC